CCGCCCGGCCAAACTAAGCAATCGGGGGAGAAGGGCCTTGGTCAGGGTGGTGACCAAGAACCTGATGGTCACCCTGACAGAGCTCCAGAGTTCCTCTGTGGAGATGGGAGAGCCTTCCAGAAGGACAACCATCTCTGCAGCACGCCACCAATCAGGCTTTTATGGTAGAGTGGCCAGACGGAAGCCACTCCTCAGTAAAAGGAACATGACAGCCCGCTTGGAGTTTGCCGAAAAGCACCTAAAGGACTCTGACCATGAGAAACAAGATTCTCTGGTCTGATGGAACCAAGATTGAACTCTTTGGCCTGAATGCCAAGCGTCACGTCTGGAGGAAACCGGGCATCATCCCTACGGGGAAGCATGGTGGTGGCAGCATCATGCTGTTGGATGTTTTTCAGCAGCTGGGACTGGGAGACTAGTCAGGATCGAGGGAAAGATGAACAGAGCAAAGTACAAAGAGATCCTTGATGAAAACCTGCTCCAGAGCGCTCAGGACCTCAGACTGGGGCAAAGGTTCACCTTCCAACAGGACAACGACCCTAAGCACACAGCCAAGACAACGCTGGAGTGGCTTCGGGACAAGTCTCTGAATGTCCTTGAGTGGTCCAGCCAGAGCCCAGACTTGAACCTGATCGAACATCTCTGGAGAGACCTGAAAATAGCTGTGCGGCGACGCTCCCCATCCATCCTGACAGAGTTGAGAGGATCTGCAGAGAAGAATGGGAGAAACTCCCCAATACAGGTGTGCCAAGCTTGTAGCGTCATACCCAAGAAGACTCAATGCTGTAATCGCTGCCAAAGGTGCTTCAACAATGTACTGAGTAAAGGGTCTGAATACTTATGTAAACGTGATATTTCAGTTTTTTTTTTTTTAAACAGTTTCTGCTTTTTCATTATGGGAAAAAAACAATTTAATCCATTTTAGAATAAGGCTGTAACGTAACAAAATGAGGAAAAAGTCAAGGGGTCTCAATACTTTCCGAATGCACTGTATGTAGACATAATGTTTATGTAGGCTGTCTAGTTGGTTGCGTAACACACAGGCGAAGGAAAGGTCAGCCTTAAAATATGGCAGAAACCTTCTCAATGGTCTGCTATGCTACTGTACTGTAACCGACCCGGGATAGCCTATAGATCTCTCTTCGTATAGTTTCAAAGGGTAGGACATTAGGCAATGCGACCCTGAGAGGCAGGCTGTGGGATTGAGGATAGGAGGCAGAGACTGGGACGGAGATGTGAGACTGGAATGTGATGTGATATGTATTGGACTTTTATTGTGACCTGCATCCATACCGGCATTCTAATTGGCTCCTATATTAGAGCGAGGGCTTCTGGGTAGAAGACTGCCATGATGTAATGTGTGGAGGTGTCACCATTCTCCCTCCCCTTATTATTTATTTGATACCTGCTTGTGAGTTATGCAGAGTCTCATCATTCAAGTGTGCAGTCTAATGCATATGGCGCATTGTGTCAGCTTCTTCAACTACAAGACCTACAACCCAGTATTTCCCCATAGTATGTTTTGCAAGGTTTGTTTTGCTAATGTTATCATAGGATTCTCAGAATAACTTGGTTGATACAAACCAGTTATATACTAAATAATGTGATAAATGATACTAAGGTTATGATTAGGGTTAAGGTTAGGGTAAAGGTTAAGATTCAGGAAAGTCATTTAAAAGTTGTTAAATCACTTAAGATGTTTGAGCCTAAAACACCTGTTTATGCCTCGTAAGCGCTCCCTATTTTCTGGTCACATGTGTGTACGTGACCAATGACCCATGACTCAACATATAGTGCCACCTAATGTAGATAATGTGTTATACAACCCAAGACAGAAAAAAATATTCATTATTGGCGATCACTCAGGGTTGAGTATGTTCGTCCTCCTGGTGGGTCCTGCTTGTGGGTTTTCAGATGGCTGAAGAGGCCGATCCGGACGTCACATATTTTGGTGCAGTGTGGGCAGGGGTGACCGGTGGATGGGCCTTCTTGACGGAAAGTCTCTCCTTTAGAAGTTGCTGATTGTCCTCTGCGGCACAGCGGCGATCTTCTTCGTACCGTGTTACTCCCTCTTGGACAGTTTTCCACCATGTCGACCCATCTTTTGTAGTGTCCTCCCAGCTGGAGATGTTTTTTTGGCACTTGAGGTTAGTCTTTAGGTTTTTTTTGTACCGCTTTTTTTGTCCTCCAGGAGCCCGCTGTCCTGCGTTTAGTTGTGAATACAGGACCTGTTTCAGGAGGTCGAGAGTTGGGCATCCTGACAACATGGCCTTGTGTTGAACGGTGGTGGTGGTGATGCTTTCCTCCTCAAGGACATCGGTGTTGATGCGCCCATCTTCCTAGCTGATCCTCATGATGTTGCGGAGGCATCTTTGGTGGTGCGGCTCCAGGGCTTTAAGATGCCTGCTGTATGTGATCCATGTTTCTGACCCATACAGTAGGGTAGGGAGCACTAGTGGTTTGTAGACCAGGATTTTGGTTCTGGCCTGGATGTCGCGATCCTCTAAGACTCTTTTCCTCCGTTTTGAGAAGGCTCCACTGGCACAGCTTAGGCGGTGGTGTATTTCCGCGTCAATGTCGGCTTTGGAGGAGAAAGGCTAACAAGGTAGGGAAAGTGGTCCACATTTTCAACAGTGGCATTGTCAATGTATATTGTTGGGGCCGGTGTATTTTTGTTAGGCTGTGGTTGGAGGAGGATTTGGGTATTTCTTTTGTGTTTAGGGCCAGATCGAGAAATTTGTATGCCTTTGCAAAATGTCCAGGATGCACTGAAGGTCCTCTTGTGAGTGGGCAGTGATGGCCTTGTCATCTGCATACTGGAGCTCCACAATGGAAGTGTTGGTAATTTTGCTCTTGGCTTTGAATCTGTTCAGGTTGAAGAGTTTGCCGTCTGTTCTGTACAGGATTTGGACTCCCTAAGGCAGATTATGGCCTGTGAGGTGGAGGATGGCAGCGATGAAGATAGAAAAGCAGGGTGGGTGCAGTGATGCAGCCCTGTTTAACTCCAGTGTCCACCTTGAACGGTTCCGTTTCAGCGCCACAGTTACTGAAGCTGACATATTTTCATGCAGCAGTCGCAGTATTCTGGTGAATTTGTCAGGACAGCTGATTTTTGACACAATCAGCCAGAGGGCATTGCGGTTCACAGAGTCAAAGGCTTTTGTAAGGTCTATAAACGCCATGTACAGTGGTTACTTTTGCGGCAGGCCTTTTTCTTGCAGTTGTCATGCTGTGAAGATGATGTCCGTGGTGCCTCTAGTTGGACGAAAGCCATACTGAGATTCTGGGAGGATTTCTTTTGACGTGAAGGAGTCGGTTGTCCAGTATGCATGCAAGTGTTTTCCCTGTGGTGGACAGGAGGGAGATGCAACGATAATTCCCACAGTCTTGATTTGTACCCCTTTTTAAAAATGGTGACAATTAGTGCGTCCCAGAAAATCTATTAAACAAGCACATAAGTAGGCCAAATTGACTACAATATTAATGACTGCTTAGTCAAACAATTTATAAATTCCTGCATACACACCATGAGAGCACCCTGACATTGTGGTCGTTGGGTGCAATGCCGGCATCAGGGATTGAGCAACAGATACTGATGAATTCTGCAGACACCACCTGAGGGATGAGCGAGATGTGAAAAATGAATAATTACTCTACTACTCCCCTGTGTCTGAGCTTAGACATTGCAGTTTGTATTTGAGGCCCAGGACATGAGTAGGGAAAGCTTGAGCCTTTTTCGCTACTCTTACAAATGTATCCTTACTTCCTCCCTTTCTTGAAGTAATCCCTGATCGGACATGTGGTGAATGCAATGCAAAGGAAAGCTTGCACACACACACACCAACCCAGTTGTCATAGTGATTTCTTCAAAAAATGAATGAGTGGTAACTTCCCCAACATTACCAGGTTTTCCGATTTTAAACTTTGTGCACTGTCATCAGGCACTGTTTTTTATCCACAAGTCAGTTTGGTGGAAACACACATTTTATTTATGCGGATTTTAGAATATTTGCAGGAAATCGGTGAAAGATTTGATGGAAACCTAGCTATAGATTTACTAAATTTCCTATTGATTTACTAAATTGACACCAACCCTGACCCTAGCTGACACTAAAAAGCATAGGAAATACTGACTGGGAGATTTACTCCCCTGGCTACCTAGACTCATTACTCCAGCCAAACGCTACACCCAGACGTTTTCGCAGCAATGAGTCTGGCGCAGAGTACCTCCCGACCCTTCAAATGTGAACACATTCGGGGCTGTCCGATTGGTCCAGAACACAGGTGGGTAAAGTGGCAGTTAGAAAATGTGTCATTGTCTTTGATACTCTGGTTAGAGATGATCCAATCGCTGATTACTTTTGTACAACACCCCTCATGCTCCCCACTCACCACAAACAATGTCAGTCTCAGAATAAAGTATGTAGCAAACGACAGCCCTGTGGAGTAATTTAGTGTGGAGTCATCATGCTATACTTACGGCTTCACAAGATGGATTGTCAGGTCAATCAGACAAGGGGCACACAGAAGCCATACCGGTCAGCTTGCGGCAGGTCAAAGTTCACTTTAGATCCACACCATTACAAGAAAAATGTGGCCTAAATGTAAACATTAAAGAACCTGTTTGAACCTGTGTCCAATACCATGGTATCTTAACGCACAGCAATTGGGTGTCGACTACTTCAGACCAGCTCCATATGACTGTTTAAGAATTGGGATTCCACTAGTGAAAAGCACTATACAAACCTTATCCATCGCTCCGTTGATAAAAATCCATTAAGGAACCAGTGGTCCTGGCTGGCGCATCTCTCCAGCTTATCGGCGGGCCCGTCAGTGTTCTGCGATGGCATGAACTGTGGGGAAGGGATGTTAGTCCATGCAGTGTGGCGTTTATTAGGCACCACATGGAAGAAAACTGTTACATTAAAGTTCCATTGCAAATCGTTTCAGAACAGTTGCGTGACCGAATGAACATGTGCTCTGGAAGAATGAGATGACAGTTCAATAACAGGACTTTTATTTTGACAGAGTGCAAATTAAGCCATGGTGCGGTAAACAGAAATATTCTGCAGGCAAAAATCATACTCAGTCCTCACACTGAACAGAACAGAGGTGTGACTTAAACATGTTGCCATTGAGTTCACTACAGGTTCTCTGGCAGCAGACTGGTGGGATGTCCGTTCAGGAGAAGGAAGAGGTCATGGGACATGGGGGGTTGGAAGTGTGGTGTGGAAACTTTACTCCTTGGAGGCCATGTGCAGACACAGGTCAACAACACGGTTGCTGTAGCCGAACTCGTTGTCGTACCTATGGAAGACCGATGAGTTAGAGAATTCACAAAAACCTAAAATCACGGGAATGTTGAGGCTATACTAATTCAATGAATGTTGTGATGGAACAGAATTACAATATTGAATGTGTCCGCGTGAGTGACACCCACGTCCATGAACTGCATTCAACTATGCAGTAATTTTCAAAGGAGGCAGTCCACACCTTTGCAGTCCAGCTGGCACACTAGGCAGCACTGCATGCCACAAGTTCAAACATTGTTTCTTTTCCAACTCGTGTTGCATTTTGCCATCCCACAATTACAGGAAGTTGATTTAATAAGCCCTTTTGTGGTTGAATGTTTTTTTGTTGCCTGGTTTAGATTTACATTTAAATTTTTAGTCATTTAGCAGACGCTCTTATCCAGTTAAGTGAGTGCATACATTTTTCATACTGGCCCCCCTTGGGAATCGAACCCACAACCCTGGCGTTGGAAGCGCAACGCTCTACCAACTGAGCTACAGGAGGCTACAGATCCTGGCAAGGTATCAATTTGTGGATGGAAACTCAGACAAATCAATGGCAAGTTTCGGTGTTCCTCAAGGCTCTTTTCTTGGACCACTGTTCATTACATATACTGCCCCTTGTAATATAACAGTTGCAACATTCACTGCAATGCAAATTATGCACAGCTGTACATGTCGATGAAACGTTGAGTCGGTGGACACCTGGTGTGAGAGTACAATGTACAATGATTCATGCATAGGTTCCTGCATACATACCATGAGACCAGCTTGACAAAGTGGTCGTTAAGTGCAATGCCTGCGCCGGCGTCGAAGATTGAGGAGCGGCAGTCACCGTTGAAGTCTGTGGACACCACCTGGCGGGGGGAAGAGTAACAAGCTTTAGGGTAAACGATTAAGAGTTTAGACATTTCCACCTATGACCTTGAGGCCCAGGGCATTAAAGTAGGGAAAGGTTGACCTACGTACCAATTACTTCTTTCTCTCAAAGTGTGCACTGCATCCACTTATTTGATGCGTTCCAGAACTCGCACAACTGATTCAAATTGTCACCTAATCAAGCCCCTCTATTTAAATCCGCTGTGCTAGTTCTGGAATACGTCAAATATGTTGACTGGCTGGGGTACTCGAGGAGAGGTTTGGGAAACGCTTATCTAGACCAAGGTTCCCCCAAACTCTACTGGGTCCACGTTTTGTTTTTCGCCCTAGCACTACACAGCAGATTCAAATAATCAAAGCTTGACGAGTTGGTTACTTGAGTCAGCTGTGTTGTGCTAGGGAAAAAACAACATGCACCCAGGGGGGCCCCAGGACAGAGTTTGGGAAACCCTGATCGAGACCAATCGAATTATTTTAAATTCATGGGGAAGTAGTGTACAAGTGCACACTTCAAGAAAAGGACAGATTGGGACACAGGGTTGAGTGGGGAAATATTTACCTGGTCCTCTGTGTATCCCAGAATTCCCTTCATGGGTCCTTCAGCGGCAGCCTTGATGACCTTCTTGATCTCGTCATAAGGCGCCTAAAGCAGACGAGCGAACATGTAAAAGATCTAGATAAATGTATGACGTCGTAATTTGCCCCAAAATCCCAGTTTAACCGTTAGTATACATTAGCAAAAGTAGAAAAGGTGGTTGGGAGACTTACGGCCTTCTCAAGACGGACAGTCAGGTCTACCACGGAAACGTTGGGAGTGGGGACACGGAAGGCCATGCCGGTCAGCTTGCTGTGGGTCAGAAAGACCCACAAAAGGTTCAGGAGCCACACCATTACTAGCACAAGTGGGCCTCAAACTATTTCAAAAAACTCAACCCTAGTAAAAGGCACTAGCGCTATATATCAATCTCAGCCGGTATTACTATGGTCACAAAACCTCCATTTAAAAAAAACTATGGTACTGGATTGGTTCATACCCGTTCAGCTCGGGGATAACCTTGCCCACGGCCTTGGCGGCACCAGTGGAGGCGGGGATAATGTTCTGGCTGGCACCACGTCCATCTCTCCACAGCTTCCCGGAGGGCCCGTCAACAGTCTTCTGTGTGGCTGTGACTGCGTGAACTGTGCTCTGGGGTGGGGGGACGACGACATTAGTCCATGCAGGGTTTATGGAGAACCACCTAGATTAAAGTGCTATGGCATTCAAAAATCCCTTCTTACCATGAGACCCTCAACGATGCCAAAGTTGTCGTTGATAACCTTGGCGATGGGTGCCAGGCAGTTAGTTGTGCAGGAGGCGTTGCTGTGAGGACATAATTGTTAATAACCACAAATGTTTAGTGATTAAACATTGTGCCACAAATCCATAAAATAATCAGCTTAAATGCACACTTATTTATATTGAAATAGTATTACTCAGGACAGAGAAAGGAGTGAGAATACTGCACACAGTGCGTGTTTGTTTCAGCCATTCTTTGTACAAGTCATCTTTTGGCCACAGGGAATTACCACTGCTCCTTAAAGATAACGCAACGGGAGGCTTACCTGACGACCTTCAGGGAGTTGTCGTACTTCTCGTGGTTGACACCCATCACAAACATGGGGGCATCGGCGCTGGGGGCGGAGATTATGACCCTCTTGGCACCTCCCTGCAGGTGAGCCTGTGGTGGTGGTAGTTGGGATGAGGGAAAAGGTTAAGTTTGTGGAAAAGCAAAGCCACTGAATGAACCATGCCAGCCAACCTTGTTGCACATACAGCTAAAAAGCCCAATAAAGTCTTAATTGAAAGAAGTGAGGTCACACTGCATAACATGCCTACCAAAATTATAATGAACTCGCACCAATATCCCAAACACTAACTATATAAAAATGTGACCATGGCCTTCCTACTGCTAGTGAACTGAGGTACTTACAGAGGCCTTTTCGATGGTGGTGAACACACCAGTAGACTCCACAACGTAGTCAGCGCCAGCATCGCCCCACTTGATGGCGGTGGGGTCTCTCCTGAAGATGGTAAAGAGATTAAGTTGGGGTGACACTACAAAACTAGCATTACAATTACAGAACTAGAATGGCTCCAATTGGTGTGAAAGCCATTGGCATCATAATATAAATATTCTAGCCCACTAGAGCACTCCCGAGAGTCAGCTTCCTAGAACCAGAGAGAAATCTCCATTGAGTGCTTTTTAGTCCACCAATAAGCTTAATATGGGTGCCGAAACCATCCAAATGTGTAATTTGAATAAGTAAAGGAAAACCAACTCACTCATGGAAAACTGTGATGTGCAGGTTGCCAATGATCAACTTTCCACCCTCCTGCTTCACTTCACTGTCCTTCCAAACACCGTGGGTGGAGTCATACTTGAACATGTAGACCTATGGTACAGGGGCAGGACTTTAAAGTCAGTCAGTGATAGTACAGTAAACATGAGCAGCTAAAAGTGGTACAATTTTTTTGTTAAGTGTACTGCATTTCTTAATGCAGTATGAAGTTCACCATATAGTCCAGGTCGATGAAGGGGTCATTGATGGCGACGACCTCGACCTTCCCGCTCTTGGCGGCGGCACGGGTCACCAGACGCCCAATACGCCCAAATCTGAGATGAGAGTCTTCCAGTTAATCCCCATGTATCCAGATTACCAGACTATACCAGCATGTGGCAGGAGCCCTATACTGACATGTCTGATGACAGCTCTACAACCCTGCCAACCTTGACTGATAACAATACTTGACATTTGCAGCCCAGGGTGCTGAGGAGTATTTCTGTCTGTATTAAAGCCTTTTTGTGGGGGAAAACTCATTCTGATTGGCTGGGCCTGGCTCCCCATTGGGTGGGCTTGGCTCCCAAGTGGGTGGGCCTATGCCCTCCCCATGGCTGCGCCCCTGCCCAGTCATGTGAAATCCATAGATTAGTGCCTAATGAATTTATTTCAATTGACTGATTTCCTCATATAAACTGTAACTCAGCAAAATCTTTAAAATTGTTGCAAGTTGCATTTATATTTTTGTTCAGTATAGATTAATCCACATCTTGCCATCGAATGTGTAGGTCCAGTTTCAGCATAAATTGGATGAAACGTTCAGTGCAATCCACATGGGACTGCTCCCTTAAGTGAAATGAATGAAGTCTGATAGGACCACATTAGTCAAATACTGTGAATGCTGGAGACTTCAGTTGCAGTCAGCGGTTGAGAAAAGCCTAGGGTCGATAATATGGCAAGTCTAGACACCATAGAAATACAAAGTAAACTGGATTATAGTCTATAATAATTAAGTCTCAATTTAAAAATAAAACGTCAGTTCCTGGACAGCTGAAATAACTTCCATGTCTAACATTTGCAGCCAATTACTGCACAGATCTGTCTTGTGGTATATATTGACCAATCAAGTTCACAGAGTGGATGATAAAATCATTGTGATTGAGGATTCAGTGTCGTTCATTGTGATGATCCTTATGTTTAACTCATTTGGACTTTGTCCAGTGACGCAAGCAGACACACCCCCAACTAAAAGTGTGTCCTGTTCACAAGGGTCAATGTATTGACCAACAGAGGAGTCAAAGTGCATCAGAACTGAGTAAAAACAGGGTGAAAAACAAGTAGCCTATTTGGTAACAGTATGAGCCAGTGAACTTGGTTTTCTGGAGCAAATCCCTTGCCATCCATTCCCATTAACAAGTAATTTGTTCTAGTCAATGAAGTTAAGTCATATTCAACAAAACACCTTTTTATGAGTCTGACATTGGCTTTGGGGGAACTGTGAACAGTCAGGAGGATCTATTGCACTCAGTGTTAAGAGTTTAGTTTTCATACTGTATAAAAGTTCAATCAGCACAGCAATTTCATGACAGTGTTTCAGATTTCAAATGGGCATCGTTACAGGTTGAATTTGGGAAAGGACTTATCTCAATCTAATCTTCCTGCAGCTCAATTACTGAAGTCTATTGGTCAAATAAAGGTTAAAAGGATAAGATTGGTCAAAGAGTGCATCCAAACAATCTCTGAACTTTAGCTGACAAGGTTAGCAGGATATTATTAGATGGCTAGAATAAAGGAATGTGACAGCTGAAGAGATACAAGAGTGTTGTAGAGAGGCAGTGTGACGCCTAAACTATAAATACATAGAGAATGGACATGAGAAATGTCCAGACTAGGCTGTTGAACTAAATGTGTAGTTACAGTATGGCTTGAACTTTCCTCCAACTCGGTTCCAAAGTACACAAACTGTATCAAGGGATTTGTGCATTGCAAGCCTGGGTCTCTCCTGTGACATTTTGAACTCAGTCCTCTAGCTCTTATACATAACCCAAAGTCAACCAGTCCTAATGGTTTTAAATAAGATACTCTTCAAGATTGTCATGTCATTTATCTTTTTTTTTTTTATTTTAAGTATTGACAAAAGTAGGTTACCCATTGATCCCAATCTTCACCATTTTGCCTGATATGGTCTAGTGCTCTGAAAGTGAAAAAAATAAAAGATAAAAAGAAGTAGGAATAGAATGCACATTCAGAGTAAGCATCTATGTCAGCGTTTCCCAAACTCGTTTTTGCTCTAGCAGTACACATCCAATTCAAATGACCAACTCATCATACTTTGATTAGGCTATTTGAAATCAGCTGTGTAGTACTAGGGCAAAAACCAAGACGTGTACTACTTTGGGACCACAGGACTGAGTTTGGGAAACACTGATCTACGTATATCAATCAATCCTGATTAACAGTCACTATAGAAATATATATTATATATATTCAATGGCCATGAGAAAACCTGTGGCATCTATCAGCAGTGTTTTTTGTTAATGTACACGGTTGACCAAACAGTCGTGGAAAACTTTGAGAAAATTTACTAAATCTGCATGCACAGAGAAAACATTTTAAAACACGTAGGCTAGCCCAAAGTCAAAAGATAGCAATTCAAAACACCAGGTAAGACTACACAGTGCGTAAATCACATACAATTAAGGCAAACTTGAAACTGTCAATTAAAATTAGTTTTTGAATGTATAAAATAAAGTTTTAAAGTACCGTTCTTTGTATAGCCTCTGTCTGTCCACTTGTTTGCAAGGGGAAGCGGGGGCGAGCAAAGGTGCGCTCTCATTATATCTTCCCATTGAGTCCGTGGACACGCCTCCGCGTGCGCACGCCCCATTCAGAATGTCAAGGTCGTAGTCGCTTGTCAATCGCAGGAAGTACAGAACAAAAAACCTACACCATTCATTTGGACGATGTGGACAGTCGTGCCTTGTACCCACCCCCCCTTATTATTGTTTTGACCAGATTGGCAGCATTGCAAATGGATGCATCTTGGCAACAAAAAAAAAGATATTCTCATTATCAGCCTAATTGGATATTTCATTCATATACCTGCTAATCAATGAAACAGGTGGGGTTAGATGGATGGATAAACTAATTTGACAATTATTAATACACATGGAAATACAGGTAGACTGTTACCATGAGCAGCACCGCAGATATTGGGTGCTTTCCTCTGCCTAGGCGTTGCTCATGCCTGCCAGATCTTACAACGCCTGGATCACAGGAGGTTGGTGGCACCTTAATTGGAGAGGACAGGCTCGTGGTAATGACTGTAGCAGAATTGGTGCAATGGTATCAAATACATCAAACAACGTTTCCATGTGTTTGATGCATTCCATTAACACCGTTCCAGCCATTATTATGAGCCGTCCTCCCCTCAGCAGCCTCCTGTGGCCTGGATAGGAATTTCATGTATCAGCTAACCACATAATAGGTTATCGCAATCTGTCAGTCTGACACAGTCGATGATGTGGCAAGCAACCATTGGTTGATGCATGCAAGGTCTGAGCAGGGGAGCGCGACCACTGAGATGAGCGAAATGCAAGTCACACACAGTATCATCCACCTGACAGGTGTGGCATATCAAGAAGCTGATGAAACAGCATGATCATTACACAGGTGCACCTTGTGCTGGGGACAATAAAAGGCCACTATAAAATGTGAAGTTTTTTCACACAAACAATGCCACAGATGTCTCAAGTTTTGAGGGAGTGTGCAATTGGCATGCTGACTGCAGGAATGTCCACCAGAGCTTTTTGCAGAGAATGTTAATTTTTCTATCATAAGCTGCCTCCAACATAGTTTTAGAGAATTTGGCAGTACGTCCAACTGGCCTCAAAGCTCAGGACCTCCACATCCGGCTTCTTTAGCTGCGGGATCGTCTGAGGCCAGCCACCCGGACAGCTGATGAAACTGTGGGCTTGCACAACTGAAGAATTTATGCACAAACTGTCAAACTTCTCAGGGAAGCTCATCTGCGTTCTCGTCGTCTTCACCAGTCTCTTGACCTGACTGCAGTTTGGCGTCGTAACCGACTTCAGTGGGAAAATGCTCACCTTCGATGGCCACTGGCACGCTGGAGAAGCATGCTCTTCATGGATGAATCCCGGTTTCAACTGTACCGGGCAGCATGCTAGCAGATACCCATAGACTTCCAGTCATTGCGCTAGCATTGGCTCACAAAACTACCTCTAACTTCCTTCATAGTGGACACAGAGACATAATGGTATCCACGAGTTCATCTGACGCTGGGGAAGTAGATAAAGTGCATCATGGCCAAAATCCTGAAGTATCCCTTCAAGGTTGCTACATTACCCCATTCCTTCAGGAGAGTGTGTCCCTATGCTTCTCTATACCCGGGCGTCATCCCACTTCTGACACCAATGTAGCGAATTCGGGGGGTAGTTTGGCAATCCTCGCTTTATGAGCTACGTCACAACTCCCACCAAGTGGATTAACCCAAATTGGCGCGATGTGTAGGGTTTCACGCTAGCGACCCGGGTTCACTTCCCTGCCCCCCTGTTTGCTACATGGTGTCAGAAGTGGGATAGCCTTACTAGCTTAAATAACAAACGGACGGAGAGGGAATTACAGTTAATGCCAACAGACGTTTTAATGTTACACTGCGGGGTATTGGGAGCTGCACAAAACAACAAACCTAGCCTGAACTACAGTAGCTAGCCATAACTCACAGTCCAGAAGGAGGTATTCCCCCAGAGAGATAATAATGAGAGAACAAAATGGGGCTCTCCCCCTAGTTATTGCCGCGTTCAAAACAACTGGGAACTCAGAACTGGGAACTCGAAAATCTGACTTCCAACATCAGTGTGTTCAAAACAACTGGAAACTCAGGAAAAAAACTAGCTCTGACTGAGAAAAAGAGTCTTGAACGGTCATCCAACTAGGAATTCCAACTCGGGAACTCTGGCCTCTTTTTAGAGCTCCGACTTTCCAACCTGAAGATCACTGACATCATGATTTGACCTCGTATTTTTCCCAGTTCCCAGTTGTTTTGAACGTGGCATATATCCCCACAGACCCCCCCCCCCCCCCCCTTTCTGATTACTATGACAACCCCATAAACAATGAAAGTGTTTGGTGCTGCCAGTCCAGGGCAGGGTCTGCCCACCCTAAACCTAGCCTATATAGACATTGACAAGATTTCATAAAACATTCATATTACCATATCAAGAAAGTATACATGGTAGAGTTGTGCCTGCATTTTTGTGTCGCCTTGGCAAAATGTCACCCTCTGACATAATAAAACTATATCAATAGAGAGATAAACGCCAT